GCTGAAGTAGGTCAATCTAAGACTTTCAAAAGACTTGCTAGGCTTTAGGCCATGTTGATACGGCTCCCAGCAAGAAAAGTACTTACTTTCTCTCTCGGCCACCTCGTCCTCCGCTACCGCGCACCTGGCACTTCTTCACCGCTGTGCGACAAAAGAGGGGAATGCAGGTGACTTCATCGAGTTAGATCATAGCCTTTCAGGTCGTGTCCGATCTAACAAGGTCCCGTCCAAACACATCAGATGAGATCACGTGAGCCATAAAACGAGGTCAGCAGCTATCTCATCATTCAGGAAGGATAAGATAAGATAATGACGAGGCTACGACCTCCATGCTCGTCCGATTCATACTATTTCCTGTGTTGTGGTAGGCATGGAGTAGCATGCGTCTTGCGTCTTGCCAGCACGAAGTTTTAGTTCGATAGATAGCAAGCTGAAACACATTCTTCTGTTTGGTTTCATATCATTATTTGGCTTTTAGCTCATTATAGCTAAAGCTTTAGCTTATTATATAGGTTTTCTGGTCCGGGGGCAGCGGCGGTTTCTCGGCAACACTTCAGGACGTTCTACGGCCGACATGAGCGGCGCGCAACCAGATGCCGCGAAACGCGTGCAGCGAGCCTACCTTGTTACGTTTACGGGGCCGTCTATCGGTAAGGTATGCTCAGTACACATTAATATGAGCAGCGAAGCACTCAAAATGGAACAAAGAACAAGCATGTTTTAGTTGTGTGCAATCACAAGGCGTGGCAACGTAGGTGTCGTGTTCTAAATGTAAAAAAATGATTTTCTGGAACATTCTGCTTTATTGCTTCATTCTATTATACTAATTATTGGGAAGCTGCTGAGTGCAAGCAATTTAAAAGTCGCGTTCTAAGCCTGGTTTTCTGCTTGGTGTGCGTCGAATTAGTGTTGGCAGCCCGACATCATTACTGACTGTGCCCCGCGGATTCTGTGCAGTCTCTAGGAGCTGACGCAGTCTGAAGAGACCGTTTTACGCTGGTCAGTAGCAAATGGCTTGTGTGACCTAGAACTACCCCGGCGAGGATGGGATTCGAACCAAGGCGTGTAGAGCACATTCGATTCGCAGTCCAACGCTTTAGCCACCCGGCCAGCTCGTCCCCCAATGACCACGCGCCTGCCCCTTTTTCACTGGTGCACCACAAACGAAGTAAATCCACGTCACTGCATTAGGTGACATCCTAACAGATGATGTCGTGTAACCAGGTCCGGGCAGATCACATCAGATCAAATTACAGGAGCACATGAAGTGATGCCTGCATTCGAGGTAAATATTTTGTAATTCAGAAGCAAGTCCTAAGGCAATGACTTCTATGCTCGCACGGTTCATATCATTTGCTTCTGTTGTGGTATGCAACGAGTAGCATCCGTCCAAAGGCTTGCCGGCAATAACTTTGAGTTGGATGCATAACAAGCTGAAGCATGTCCAGATTCATCGCATATCAATTTATCTTGGTTCAGGCTGATCTTTGCGTTTCGTACTAATTCCGTTTTCTTGTCGAAAACGGATACATGGGAATCGCGTACGACAAAGCTAGTTGGCTCACGACTTTTGAACGATTCATTTGTCTTCACGACATATTGCTACGGCATCTCCAACTGTAGTGTTTTTCGCTCGGTATGTTGTTGGTGTAGGAAGCTATTTTTTCTGTTTTTTTAATTTGAATTTTTTCCGAATTTTTCATTTTCGTTCTGCTTGTTTTAAGGCAAGATGGGCTTGGATCAGTCTATCGGGAGGTCTAGCATTTCTTACAACGGCGGGTAGATAGCTTTTTCACAAATTCGGGAACTGCCGCCGTTCAGACAGGGCCAATAGACCGGTTTGATGATGGAAGATACCTCGGCGGTCTGTGTACCTAAAACCATATCGACGAGGATGGGATTCGAACCCACGCGTGCAGAGCACATTGGATTAGCAGTCCAACGCCTTAACCACTCGGCCACCTCGTCCTGACATTTAGCAAATTTGACAAATTTAATCCAGCTGTGGCGCTGTTGATACACAAATGGCACACAGCCATTGCCGTAAAGGAGGCAATCAACTTGGCCGCATCGGGAGATCACATCTTAGCAGGTCAGGTAAGATCTAACCAGATGAGAACAGGTCAAGTCAGACTAGACGGTCTGTGGTCATATTTGGGATGCGTACCTTCTCACTCGGAGACAGGATCAGACTGCCACGACGTTTGCGCTAGCACGTTTCCCATCATTCGGTTATGCTGTAACATATAATAAGCACTGTGTACTGATATGGCTGCCGAAAATCGTTTTCATTTTAGCGCACAGACTGTTTTAACGCATTGCACTGACTCGTTTCCGAGTACTGTCTGCATAGGATTCGCTGGACACTGTCATTGGCAGTGTCGGGGCTGCGAACACTATCTTGACTTATTAACATAAAAAACGGTAGTTAATAACATGGCTTTCGGATCGCCTGGGCCTAGCAAGTTACACAAAGAGCAAATTGCTTGCATTTCCTGATATTGCTTCTTAGAAGCGCCGTAGCGGTGTTCCCTACCAACAGACCATACTTTTGGCCGAGTGCCTACCAAAACAATACTGCGTTCATGATACACAGACTGCCGTTTTCGAGGAAACATATTTTGCCGAACCATTATAGCGCCTAGAGATGGTGCTATTAGTCTTCATTGATAATGCCTCTTCTTCATTCACATGATTCATGTATTCGTGCAAGCAAACTTTGCCGAACCATTGCAGCGCCTATATATCGAGCTATTGGCAGAGGCAGTGCGAGGAAGCCAGTCAGGACGTTACGTTAAAACTGCCCATGCATGAGAGTGGAAATGATTGTCGGCAGGCATCTCAACGTACAACACTATTTGTATGCCACAGCATAACCAATTGATATGAGCCGTGCTTGCGGGGATGTCGTGGCAGTCAGATCCCGTCTCCGAGTGAGGAGATAGACGTTCCGAGTTTGGTCAAAGATCATCTATTCTGACATGACTTGATCTGACCCGGATAGAGCTTACCTGACGTGATAGGATGTGATAATACAGCCAAGTTCATCGTCTTGTTTCTGACAATGATGGAGTGCCATTCGTGTAACCACAGCGCCACAGCTGGGGTAAAATTGCCAGATTTGTGGATTCTCGTGACGAGGTGGCCGAGTGGTTAAGGCGTTGGACTGCTAATCCAATGTGCTCTGCACGCGTGGGTTTGAATCCCATCCTCGTCGACATGGTTTTAGGTACGAAGACCGCCCAGCATCTGCCAGCATCGAACCGGTCTGTTGGTTCTGTCCGAACGGCAGCAATTACCGATTTTGTGAAAAACTATCCACGCGCCGTTGTTAGAAATGTTGGGCCTCCCGACAAATTGATTCAAGCTCATCTTGCCTTGAAACAAGCAGAATGAAAATGCAAGTTCAGAAACATATCACATTAAAAAAGTCAGAAAAATGGTTTCCTACACCAGCAACTAACCGAACGAAAAATGATACATTTGGAGATGCCGTAGCAATATGGCGCAAAGACAAATGAATCGTTCAAAAGTCGTGAACCAACTAGCTCTGTCGCACGCCATTCCCATGTACCCGTTTTCGACAAGAAAACATAATTAGTACAAAACGCAAAGATCAGCCTGAGTCAAGATAAATTGATATGCAACGAATCCGGACATGCTTCAGCTTGTTATGCATCCGGCTCAAAGTTAGTGCCGGCAAGCCCTTTGGACGGATACTGGTCACTGCATACCACAACAGAAGAAAAGATATGAACCTTGCGAGCATAGAAGTCATTGCCTTAGGACTTGCCTCTGAATTGCAAAATGACTACCTTGAATGCAGGCCTCGCTTCATGTGCTGCTGTAATTTGATGTAATGTGATCTGCCTGGACTAGGTTACACGACATGACCTGATAGGACATGACTTAATGCAGTGACGTGCATATACTTCGTGTGTGGTGCAACGGTAAAGAGGGCCAGGTGCGTGGTAACGGGGGGGGGGGGGGGGAGGGAGGGGAGCTTGCCGAGTGGCTAAGGCGTTGGACTGGGAGTCCAATGTGCTCTACGCGCATGGACTCGAATCCTGTACTCGTCGGGGTGGTTTTAGGCCACACAAGCCATTTGGTACCAACCAGCGTAAAACGGTCCCTTCGGACTGAGTCATCTCCTGGAAACTGCACACAATCCGCGGGGCACCGTCATTAGTGATGTCGGGCTGCCAACACTAATTCAACGCACGCCGAGCAGACAACTAGGCTTATGAACGTGACTTTTAAATCAATTGCACTCAGCAGCTTGCCAAGAATTAAACAATAAAATGAAGGAATAAAGGAGAATATTCCAGAAAATCACATGTTTTACATTTACAAAGACATCTACGTGACCATGCCTTGTGGTTGCACACAACTAAAACAGGCATGTTTTTTTGCGCCATTTTGGGTGCTTCGCTGCTCACATTGATGTGAACTGAGCATACCTTACCGATAGAAGGCTCCGTTAATGTAACAAGGTAGGCTCCCTGCACGCGTTTCGCGGCAGCTGTGGTTGCGCGCCGCTCATGTCGGCCGTAGAACGTCCTGAAGTGTTCGTGAGAAACCGCCGGTACCCCCGAACCAGAGAAGCTATGTAATAAGCTACAGCCTTAGCATAATAAGCTAAAAGCCAAATAATGATATGAAACAAAACAGGAGGATATGCCTTAGCTTGCTATCCATCGAACTAAAAATTCACGCCCACAAGACGGAAGACGCATACTACTCCATGCCTACCACAACGCAAGAAATTGTATGAATCGTAGCCTCGGCATTATCTTATCTTGTCCTTCCTGAATGATAGGATAGCTGCCTCGAGTGCAGACCTCGCGTTATGGCTCATGTGATGTCATCTGATATGTTTAGACGGGATCTTGTTAGATCGGACACGATCTGATTAGATATGATCTAGCTCGATGCATTCACCTGCGTCCACCTCTTTTGTCGCACAGCCGTGAAACAGCGTCAGGTGCGCGGTAGCGGAGGACGAGGTGGCCGAGGGGTTAAGGCGTGGGACTGGTAAGCCAATGTGCTCCGCACACGTGGGTTTGAATCCCATCCTCGTCGGAGCGGCTTCAGTTTACACAGGCCACCTGGCACTTACGGCTTTAGATAGGTCTGCTAGTCTCGTCCTAAGCACGGCAGTTACCGAAAATGTGAAAAAAAATCCTCTGCTCGTCGCCATTTGAGTGTCAGCCTCGCCAACAAACCTTTCCAGCCTCATCTCGCCTAAAAACACGCGGAAGATTGACGTTTAGGGAAGTCAGCTTTCTACACCGACAGTTTATAAAAAAGATGAAACGGAATTCCTGCCACTTTTTTTTGCTGGGGGAGCCGTATAAACAAGACCTAAAAGCTAGCAAATATTTTGAAAGTCTTAAGTTGACCTACTTCAGCGCGTGTGATTCCCATACAACCGTTTACGAGAAAAAAACAAAAGCAAAGAAGAAAACATAGCGTGCAATAATTACGGAGGGCAGAGATACGTATGCTGGCATACGCATTTTTTATTTGTACAACCACAGCGCCACTTCTGTGGTGAAATTGTCAGCTATGGTAATATGTGGTGGGTTTGAGTCCGATCCTCCTCGAAGTAGGTTTTGGGATAAATAGATAAGTGGTTTAGCCACTGGACCTGAGTCCAGTGAAGGTCCAGTGAAGTGCCTCTAACCACGGCTAAACCACTTATCTATTTATCCCAAAACCTACTTCTACTATTCAGGACTTCGTGATCGTTGTTGCAAAATCCTCGGGGCACCGTTATTGGCAGCGTCGCGGCTGCCAACACAATTTCATCTTACAACCAGCAGAAAGTCTAAGCTCAGAACGTGGAATTTACCAAAGGACCAGCTTGCTATGATTTATTGGCCGTATTTTAGGAATTTGTATTTGTTGTTTATACTTTTATTTATTTTTGTATTTATTAAAATACGTTTGTTTATAATTTGTATTTATTAAAATACGTTGCTGTATTTTAGGAACACCGTATCGGAAGTCCATTCTAACAAACCTTACTAATGTCCTGGCTGTGTGCCGACTTACATGATACTGCGTTCTATGTTTACATGCTGCCCGCACCCGGGCAAACGAAATTTACCGAATCATTACAACGCCTGTAGATATAGTTATTGCCAATGAAGGTACCAGGATACGGATTTGGACAATACGTTAATGCACAAAATGCATCAACCTTCGCCCTGGCTACCGGTTTTAAAAATGCGAGCTGAGAGGGGGGTGAGGGGGATGTTAATGCGACTCTCCTAGCATTTCCATTGAATAAAAAAAGATAAAATTTTGAAAACGCCAGTAGATTGATCTTAATGAGATCTTGCTATCGGTACTGGTTTGCATGCTCTAAGTCAATAGCGGATCACATTACAGCAGGTCAAAGGAATAGTTTTCCCAAAAATAGCACTTTTCTATTCTTACAATGGTACGCATACAAGACCACACCTTGTGACCGCACAAAACCTTATACACTGGCTCTTTGTTAAATTCTGAAAACAGTGTTGCATATCTCTACGTGTTTTGAGCAAACGATCATGATATATGGCTCCGTTTATGTAGCATTGTCGGCCCCCGCGCGCCCTCCGTGACATCGCCGGTTGCCGCCCCCCCCCCCCTTGCCCACCGCGCGGACCGTAAATCACCGCGCAGTGCTCCTAAGAAACCATCATTGCCCCGGAAACAGAACGGCTAGGAGCACATTTCTGGTGTAAAAACACCCACCATGAGTGCTCCACGGGCTACTAGAAATTTGGGCGCGAATGCCCACCATCCCAGAGGTATCCTAAAATGAATTAGGGATGGGATAGGGGGAGGGAACTTCGCCTTATCAGGGCCAGGGTGAAGTGAAAACGATTTCCGGGAGACATTTGAACGCACAGCGCACATCCAGTCTGACATGGCCTGATCCGACCAGGTTAGAGATTACCTGATGTGATAGGGTGTACCTTGATCCAACCCAGCCAAGTTCATCGCCTTGTTTCCGGCAATGATGGAGTGACATTCGTGCAACCACAGCACCAAAGCTGGAGTAAAATTGCCGGATTTAGGGATTCTCGTGACGAGGTGGCCGAGTGGTTAAGGCGTTGGACTGCTAATCCAATGTGCTCTGCACGCGTGGGTTCGAATCACATCCTCGTCGGTGTCGTTTTGGGTAACATTGACCAACTTGTGCCTACCAACCGGTCGGACCTGTCTGTGTATTCGGTCAAACCCCATCAATTCCCGAATTTGTGATGCAGTCATTTGTACACCGTAGAAATGTAAGACCCCGCCAACCAGCTAATCCAAGTTTATCGCGCATTAGAACAGGCAGAAGACTGGTATTGAGGAAAGCAGGTTTTCTATACCGTTACCTACACAGTTGTTGCACACCGTGTTTTTGTACAAGATGGCGCACAAAAAATAACACGATATTGCCACCACTGACTCCTTGAACCCAAAATATGTGTCGGAAGGTCTTTTAAAACACGCTGCTCATTGCATACCAAAACAGAAGTAAATGATACTAGCCTTGCAATCGTAGAAGGCATAGGTTCTGGACTTGTTCCTGATTGAAAAAAAATGGCTGCCTCGCGTGCGGACCTCGCTTCATGGGCTCATATGATATGATCCCATATGATATGCCCGAACTTGGTCAGATTGGACTTCATGTGATAGGATATGATCTAACCCGATGCAGTCACATCCATATCCTTCACATGTGGCGCAGCAGCGAAAAGGTGTCAGGTGCGATGGGACGGGGACGAGGTGGCCGAGAGGATAAGGCGTTGGACTGCTAATCCAATGTGCTCTGCACGCGTGGGTTCGAATCCCATCCTCGTCGGGACGGTTGTAGTTGAAGCAGGACATCTTGTTCTGACAGGCATAAAATGGTCTCGTTCGCGACCGCGACAGGTTCCCAAAACTGCACAGAAATCGCGGGACATGATCGTTGGCAGTATCGGGTCTGCGAACGCTATCTTGATTTATGAACAGAAAAAACGGCGGTAAACGACGTGGCTTTCGGATCGCCTGGGCCTAGCAAGTTATACAAATACCAAATCGCTTGAATTTCTTGATATTGTTTTTTAGAAGCGCCGCAGCGGTATTCCCTACTGACAGCCCATACTTTTGTCGTGGCTGCGTGCCTACCAAAATAATACTGCGTTCTTGATACACAGGCTGCCGTTTTCGAGCAAACATATTTTGCCGAACCATTATAGCGCCTAGAGATGGTGCTATTAGTCTTCAGTAATTATACCTCTTCTTCACTCACATGATTCATGTATTCGTGCAAGCAAACTTTGCCGAACCATTGCAGCGCCTATATATCGAGCTATTGGCAGAGGCAGTGCGAGGAAGCCAGTCAGGACGTCACGTTAACAGTGTCGATGCATGAAAGTGGAAATTATTGTCGGCAGGCATCTCAACGTACAACACTATTTGTATGCCACAGCACAACCTACTGATATGAGCCGTGCTAACGGAGATGTCTTGGCAGTCAGGTCCTGTCTCCGAGTGAGGGGGTAGGCGTCCCGAGTATGGTCGAAGACCATCTAGTCTGATATGACCTGATCTGACCCGGTTAGATCTCCCCTGACGTGATAGGATGTGACAACACAGCCAGGTTCATCGCCTTATTTCTGACAATGATGGAGTGCCAATCGTGTAACCACAGCGCCACAGCTGGGATAAAATTGCCAGATTTATGGACTATTATGACGAGGTGGCCGAGTGGTTAAGGCATTGGACTGCTAATCCAATGTGCTCTGCACGCGTGGGTTCGAATCCCATCCTCGTCGATATGGCTTTAGGTACGAAGACCGCCCAGCGTCTTCCAGCATCGAACCGGTCTGTTGGTCCTGTCCGAACGGCAGCAATTACCGACTTTGTGAAAAAGCTATCTACGCGCCGTTGTTAGAAATGTTAGGCCTCCCGACAAACTGATTCAAGCTCATCTCGCCATAAAACAAGCAGAATGAAAATGCAAAATTCAGAAACATATCAAATTAAAAAAGTCAGAAAAATTGTTTCCTACACCAGCAACTTACCGAACGAAAATTAATACATTTGGAGATGCCGTAGCAATATGGCGTAAAGACTGCATCACAAAACCGGGAACTGCTGCCGTTTGACCGAATACACAGACGGGTCCGACTGGTTGGTAGGCACAAGTTGGTCATTGTTACCCAAAACGACACCGACGAGGATGGGATTCGAACCCACGCGTGCAGAGCACATTGGATTAGCAGTCCAACGCCTTAACCACTCGGCCACCTCGTCACGAGAATCCCCAAATCCGGCAATTTTACTCCAGCTTTGGTGCTGTGGTTGCACGAATGTCACTCCATCATTGCCGGAAACAAGGCCTATGAACTTGGCTGCGTTGGATCAAGGCACATCCTGTCACATCCGGTGATCTCTAACCTGGTCGGATCAGGCCATGTCAGACTAGATGTGCGCTGTGCGTTGAAATATCTGCCGGAAATCATTTTCACTTTATCTTGGCCCTGATAAGGCGGAGTTCCCTCCCCTATCCCATCCCTAATTCTTTTAGGATACCTCTGGGATGGTGGGCATTCGCCCCAAAATTTCCAGTAGCCCGTAGAGCACTCACGGTGAATGTTTTTACACCAGAAACGTGCTCCTAGTCGTTCTGTTTCCGCGGCAATGATGATTTCCTAGGAGCACTGCGCGGTGATCTACGGTCGGCGCGGGGGGGGGGCGGCAACCGGCGATGCCGCGGAGTGCGCGCGGGGGACCGACAATGTTACATAAGCGGAGCCATATATCATAATCGTTTGCGCAAAACACGTAGAAATATGCACCACGGTATTCAGAATTTAGCAAAGAACCAGTACATAAAGTTTTGTGCGGTCAGAAGGTGTGGTCTTGTATGCATGCTATTGTATGACTGGAAAAGTGCTATGCTCGAGAAAACTATTCCTTTGACCTGCTGTAATGTGATCCGCTATTGACTTAGAGCATGCAAACCAGTACCAATAGCAGGATCTCGTTAAGATCAATCTACTGGCGTTTTCAAAGTTTTATCTTTTTTATTCAGTTGGAAATGCTACGGG